TTAACAGGAAGCCTGATGGGTGGAAGCTGAGAGTTGGAGAAATGAAAGTCCTAAGAGTCTTAGGAACCGGGAGGGACTTAGGCTGTCATCTAGATCCACTGCCCTCCCACGCAGTGCTGTCTGCCTTTTTTTCTTGAGCTGGGATCTCACAGTGGAAGCTGGTTTTGAACTTACTCTGTTCCTCAGGCTGGCCTTGAAGGACAGTCCTCCTGCCTCAGCCTCCCATGTGCTGAGATTATAGACATGTGCCACCACAACCCGGTATATTTCACTTGAGTGCCTTCAGCATTATATGGCATCCTGGTCCCATCCTACATAGCCTCATAGTTGAGGGCAGTCCAGAGACAGGCAGTGCATGTCCTAGATCACGTGGCCTGTGGCCACCTTCTCTTAGTGGCCCAGATATGTCCTTTCTTTGCACCCCCATTCACAGTTCCCTTAAACCATGGACTGACTTCTTGAAAGAAAAGGGAAGGTGAATTCTTCCAGGAAGTGTACAGAAAGGTCGCAGTGTCCCCAGAAACCCCAGCTGTCTTCTGGACCTAGCTGTGGAGGGGTGTGTGTTTTTCTCTGCCCACTGCCTCCCTATTCCCTCTCTCCCAGGAAAAGGCCTTGGGAACTGTCTAGGGTGTCTTGGGTCATGGCTGGAGGAGACAGATCTGCAGGGTCAATCCGGGGACTGGATCTTTCTAGTACCAATCCTCCCGGCATCGGGAATTCTCCTGGCGTCCTCACCAGCATAAATACTTAATGGGGCTGTAGGTATATATAATTTGATCAATATGTCAGTGTTAAGAGGGCCTTTAAGGAAGCTCACCTATCATCGAGTGATGGGGTGGAAACCGACCCTTCCTGGAGCAGGGGCACTGCCTCCCCTGGCTGCTGCGGGGCGGGTGGGAGCCTTGCTTTATCCCAGGGTGGAGGGGAGTCTAGGGGTGAGGTCCTCCCCATCCTGTTCCCCAGATTTCTCTTCCTCTGTTGTTAAACGCCAGAGGAGTAGCCTGTGGTAATCGTAATTGAGGGTCTGTATTTAGAATTGTTTAGGAAATGTGATGGGATATTCTGGAATGATCCAGTATCTGATGACTGGGCAATTGTGGTACCTGGCTGTTAGAGCTGGTGCTGCCTCATCTTCCTGGGCTACATGGTCAGTGAGACAGCATGTGACAGGAGTCGTGTGAGAACCAGATAAAACTGGCTCAAATCTGTAAACTCCAGAGCTGCCTGAGACCCCCCAACACACAAGGATCTAGGGGACTGACCTGAAGCCCCTAGACCAGGACCTGGCCTTTTAGAGGCCATGCAGGCAGCGTGCTGGCCTCGGAGCTGGGGAAAGCCTTCATTTCCGCATGGCTTCAAGGTGTTGATCGCTTCAGATCAGCGGGTGTCTGTCCCTTCATTTCACCTTTCTCACATACATCCACAGGCGTCTTCTCTTTCTAAGCCACTGCTCTGATTCTCTGAGCAGGAAGTCCTGATTTTAGAGATGTGACCAGGACCTTGGAAGCATTGGATGTGCTTTTCCTGCCTTAACAGACATGAAATGACTTCCCACTAAAGGGAACCTCGCCCACCTCTTGGGGTGACCAGCGCTTCAGCTCTTGCTGCTGTTTCGTGTCACCCAGTGCCCTGTTTCGTGGAGCTGTGCTTCTGGAGGAAGTGACGGGTCTCAGAACAGTTCACAGAGGTGTGGCACTCGAAAGCTCTGGTGTGCGGACCTCGCAGGCTCTGTAGATGTCTTTGCATCTTGCAGACAACAGCAGCAAAGCCCAGAGGAGGAAAATGATTTGCCTAAAGCCACGCAGCGGGAAGCAGATCTGACTTGAGGGTAGGAACCAGGTCCTTTCTGTGTGGCCGTGGAGCGTAACCTGCACTTCGAAGCAAGTGCTGCGGCTATCTGGCCTTGTTTTCCTTTGGTTGGGGTTAAAATGAAGTGTGTACACACAGGCAGGCAGCTGGGCAGTTTGAACCTAATTAGCAGAGAGACTGTCTGGAGTGGCCTCTGGGGTGGCTGTCCGAGTGTGTGTGTAGTGTGTGTGTGTAGCGTGCGTGTGTGTAGCGTGCTTGGTTACAGGAAGCATAAAGAATCAACAAGTGAGGGGGAGCAGCAGCAGGAACCCTTCCCCAACTTCAGCGCTGTGCTCAGGGGTCAGGAATGGTCTCAGGGGTCTCACGTCTTGACGTGAGGAGATCGGAGACCGTAGTGGGAGAAACACTTTGAAGATGCTCAAGCGCCCTTGGTTTACAGTCGCAAGACGTTCAGACAGCCCACGTTAATGGGCGCGCCAACGAGGGCTGCTAGAGTGCAAGGAACAGATTGCACTTTGGGAAATTACACCTGCTCCCTCCCTCTCCCATCTCGTTTACTGCCATTTATTTGCTTAATGATCTCAGTGGAGATTTGGGGCAGATGTTACTCCCAGCGCCCAGTTGGGAGTGCAGATTCGGAGTGGAGCAGAACCTCTGTGCCCGCCTCCATGAACCGCCTCTGTCTGTGTCGAGTCGATTAGTTACTTCTAAGGAGCTGTGCTCTGCCGCCAAAGCTGCCCGCTTTGAACCGCACTTGAAAAGCAGCTTTCAGAGTCTGCACCTGCCTTGCCAAACACCTATTTCCAGAGTGTTCCAAAGGAAGCCAAGTCCCACTCCTGCCCCCTCTCAGATGCTTCTGCACGTCTGACTCAAAGGCTGGAGCTCAGTGTCCCCAAGGCAGAGGGCGGGGCAGGGGAGGTGGAGGCCAAGGCTGCCCTGTTGATAATAGATTACACCTAGTTGGCAAAAGGAGTTGCCCAGCATAAGATCTAGTTCCAGTTTGTGATCTGTGACCTGTCCTGGTGGTTGAAGTCCCACGTCTGGATGCTTTTTCCAGAGCTGATGTTTTAGAGGCATGAGTGGATCAAATGCTCTTTGGACAGCTGTTGGCATCAGTGGCGCAGTCAGGCATGAACCCTGATGGTCACTTTTTCCTTCCAACATTTCTCTGAGCTCCATTAAAAGGCTCCGTTTCGGTTCCTGGCAGGAAAGCATTTTGCGAAGTTGCTTAATAGCAAAGTATCACTTTCCTCATCTCAAAAATGGGCATTTTAGTAAGGGTGATGCTGCTGACTACTGTCAGGAGTGATCCTGCCCCCCGCCCCCAGCCTCCCGCTTCCAGGAGTAAACAGTGTTTGCCTATAGAGTCTCTGGCTCCCTAGAGCATGCAGAGCTCATTCCCAGGGCTGGGCAGCCAACACCCAGGACCCAAGGACAGGCAAGCCCTGGCTTATCGTTGGCCTAAGTCTTTCTTGCCTGGGGGTGGTGGTTGGGCCCCAGGGGAAGCTAGGCTGAAACCACACAGCCTGGGCTTCGGGAGCACCCGAATCTCAGTGGCCTTGCTCTAATGAGTGAATGGGTGTGGGTGGTGGTGCAGAAACTTAATCAGACCCTCCTTCCCCCATCCAGCCATGGTCACATGGCATGAGCCCCCAGCCTGGACATGGGGATAGCCATGTCAAATCTGAGGATTCCCTTTCCTCATAGGTAGAAGGTGCTAGGCTGCGAGTCAGGGGAAGATGTATCGATGCTGAGAACCTTGTTGTACAGTGTCCTTTCTAGAATGCTCCACCAGCCTACACGCACCAGGCCCCACTGAGTCTGAGAGTGGATGACACTTTCCTTACCCCTGGGAGCGTTTGGAAGTAGGGAGATGACTGACACCTTTGGGTCACTGGGGCATGAGGGGCAGTCCTTGACAGCGAAGAACTGTTTGCACCCCACGTGTCAGAGTAGTGTCTACTGGGAAACACTGACCCTGGGTCTAAAGATCAGGGTGTCCAGCCAGAGAGCTGACACCAAGGACCCGGTCCCCACCCAGCAGCCCCGCCGTCATGGGCAAGAGATGGTGTGGCAAGCCTGACCCCAGCCAGCAACCCCAGGACACAGGGCTGCACGAGCCGGTGAGGCTGTTTAGTAGAGGGTCTATTCAGTCCCAGTGGCCGGGGTAGGGGAGGGCACTGGCCCAGGAAAGCCAGGGCCTGTTGATCAGGCTTTGGTGGCGTTTTTTATGTGTGCATAGATCTCTCATCCAGAGTCATTTGACATGCAGATGATCACAGATTTTTAAAAGCTGTTGTCATGGTTTTGTCTCTGAAAGATCTGCTCTGTGCTCATGAAAGCTTTGAAGCCAGCTCTGGGACTGCAGTCCTGGCTGCTGAGGATTCAGAATGAGATGAGAGAAGCAGCTGGGGGGGGGGGGGTTGCCTGTCAGGGGTTCTAGGCCTTCCTGACTGGACTCTGTTAGTCATTCAGCCCCACTGGAGCTGAGATCGGCAGAGGACCCAGGTGGACACAGATTGTTTTTCTGCAGCCTTCTCCGGGGTGGGGGTGAGGCAGAGAAGTCTTATGTGCTTGTCTATGAAGAACCTCCATGAGGCCCTAGGGAGGGAAAGGGTTATCTCCACAGACAAGGCCAAGCTGCGCCCTCAAAACTGAAGACTTGATTGTGGGGCTTCTAGCTGGTGGCGTGTATGGGGGAGGGGCAGTAGAGAACAGTTGGCTGTGCTGGGAGGGACCTAGTAAGAAGCATGCCCCTGCATGTGAGGCTGGGGAACCCTTGGCTGCATGCTGCCCAGGATGGTTAATGGTGCTCACCTATTTGTGGGCATCATTAACAGACTAGTACTCTTCTCGCCAAACTGTTAGGTTCTTGTCATGGGTCTTCCTGGACTGTGAAGGTGGTTTGGGTTTTGCTTTGATTTAATTAGGGATTCCATCCTGAGGGCATGGGCTTTGGTTTGTACCACAGCTATGGGCCACCTCTGTAGGAGAGGGGGGTCCCCCAGGACATAGGGAGGCCGAGGGAAGGAATGCTTCATGCAGGGGAGTCCCTGGGGATAGAAAGGAGGGCGCCCCCTGGGGGGGAGGGGCTGTGGTTTGGAGGGAGTTGGCGCTTTCACTTGTCTGTGTGCCATTTCAGCGACCTGATTTATTCGTGGGAGCTTCATGTGGGCTGTTTTCCTTTGCAGACAGAGATTGCGAAGAGACTGAACACAATTTTAGCCCAGATCATGCCTTTCCTGTCCCAGGAGGTAAGGCTTTCTCCTATGTTGCTTCCTTTGCTTTCCAGTGCAGCTGATCCCAGCCCTGTTCATTCAGATTGACCCAGCTGCGGGTCAGGAGCATCCAGCCTTCTCTGCCTGATGGGGGTGGGGCCTCGGATAGAAATGGTCCTCTACCAACATCCGGGTCCGTCCCCAGCCTCCACCCCAGGCCGGCCAGTCTGTGCCAAGAGCTAGGGCAGGGTGTGACTCATAGGTGACATCACCTTCTAAAGGTGCCTTCCAAGAGTCCAGCTGGGGTGCTGGAGGAAACACAGAGGTGGGCTGGCCTTAAGGGGCCTGTGCCTTCCAAGGTCACTCCAGGGGAACAGCCCGCCTCCACTGGCCCTCATGTAGGAGCCACATAAGCTCCCTTATGGAGTCCTGGGTCTCTCAGGTAGTGGCGACCAATCTGCAATGGGATTCATCTAAGACTGGGCAATGGCGTTGCCCCGGGCACTTGCCACCCACTAGCGGAGGTGGCTGTGTGTGTGGCTGGTGCTTTCCTCAAGGCTTAAGGAATGGACACAACGAGAATTTTAAATACTGGATTCTGTTTTGCTAAGAGTGGTTTTAGGTTCAGCAGAACTGCGTGGAAAGTACAGAGATTTCCTGTAGCCTCCCCCACACCATTCGTTCATCTCAGTCGGGGAACCCACTTTGACACTCAGGCACCTGTAGTTTATATATTAGGGCTCATTTTGCTGCTCTTTCTTTCTTATCCCAGCTAGCTACATCCCATTCTGTTTTCTGTCCTTTCTGATGGATATAAATTAGGTACACAGACGCGTACCTGTTGCTTCTGCGTTCCTCTAATGTAAATTGGGGACAGTGACAGCTCACCACCAACTGCTATAGCTGACACATGGAGATGCCCTACTAACACGATTGTGGTGTGTTGTCCTGTGTTTAGACACTGAACTGCTCTGTAGTATTGCCTGATATCCAGCTCTTAGTCAGATTGTATGCAACAGATTCATTCGGATATAGGTGGAGAGAGTTTTGACTCTCACTGTCTCTGGACACTCCTCTCTGTAGAGGACTTAATATAATTGGAAGTTGTGATTATGTTTGTGATACATGCCCCTCTGAACGGTGTAAAGAAGAAAGTAAAGGGGCCGGGGAGATAGCTTGGTGCACTTGCCTGGCAAGCACAAGGACCCAGGTTCGATCCCCAGTACTGCATGCCGTGCCTGCCCAGGGTGTACCATAGAGGCCACCAAAACCAGGCATGGTGACAGATCTCTGTAATCCCAGCACTGGGGAGGCTGAAACGGAAGGATCACTACGAGTCCAAGCTGCATAGTGAGACCCTGTTCCAAATTCATGAATAAATAATTTTTAAGAAAATGTAAAAACAACCTGACACCCCCCCCATCACTGTCTCAGGCCTGTTGTGGGGGTTTCCTTCTGTCTTCTCTGGGGCCGCGTTCCAAGGTCCCCTGTCCCACCCGTACCCTCTCTGCTGGGGATGGTGGCTGTATCTAACCATGCCTTGTTCTCTCCAGCACCAGCAGCAGGTGGCCCAGGCGGTGGAACGTGCTAAGCAGGTCACCATGACGGAGCTGAACGCCATCATTGGGGTACGTGGACTCCCCAATCTGCCTCTCACCGTGTGTATAGCCCTTTTATTCCTCTCATTTAATGTAACCAGAGGTGGACCCTGAGCTTAGCTGGCCTCAAAGAATGGCGGCCCCAGGGCTTCAGCTTCACCTAACATCCCACGGGGTTGGGTCTCATCTGTCCCCCGAGACTCCCCCATTGCCTCCTAGTCCCCCAAACTAACTGGATACCAGACACACCTGAAGTTTACCTCTAAATCCAGGAGCCTTGTTGTTCCCTGGCTCTGGGGGCCTGGACCCAGGGCTGAAACCCGACCGCCCCGACCACCGGGTCCCTCCCTGGGCCTGGCTGCCCCACCTGGCAGGGCCTGCCCTTCTTTGGCCGTCTGAGGTCAGAACCGTCTCTGGGGGGATGTCGATGTGCACTGTGCGGGGGCATTGGGGTTCGGGTCGTACTGAGCTTCGTGGCTGAGCATTTGTCATGGGCCCTTAGGAGCTGAGTTCCAGCTGGGCCCGCTGGACGGGTCAGCCTGGTATTCTAAGAGTCCTCATCCCACCAGGACACGGCCAGGGTGGGGGGCAGCATGCCTTGGAAAGGGGAAGCCCTTCTCCCCCTACGATACCCCTTCCCTGGCTGGCAGCTTGAATGCATCTCTTGGATTCCTATCACATCTTTTTCCTGCTTGCTACTTTTTTGGGAGGCCAAGGATGTTTAATACCACTGTGACAGTGGGTGCGCCTCTTTCTTCCCCTGAAAGGAAGGAACTAGGTGGGATTGCTGCAGAGTTCAGGGTGCTTGCCCAGACATAGTCCTTTAATGTAGGTCTGGGACCCGTTCACCTCAACATTTTCGGGGACACTGGCTGGTCTCCATTATTCCTCTTTTTGTTCTTATGTGGCTTCGTTATTTCAAGATAAAACCAGAAGTGCACCCCACTCTGTGTCTTATGCTTTAGGGGGGTTAATAAATGATGACTCCCGGATTGTCAGTGTGGGGCAGATAGCCAGAGGCTTGGGTTTCTGTCATGGATCTTCCCCGTGTGACATGGGCATGTCCTGTTGGTGTCCTGGGGGCTCAAAGGCTGTGGCCCGAGCAGGCAAATCGTGAGATTTTCCAATTGGCAGTGTCTTCAGCCTCCACGCTGGCCGGTGTGGTGTAGGATACTCAGCTGGGGGTCAGGAGCGGTGTCCACACACTTGTGACACCCAAAACAGTACCCACTCAGGGCCAGTGGCCATGGGGCACAAGGACCCAGGCTGAGGACCACACCTAGTGCCCTTATTTGACAGGGATACCCAGAGGCCAAGCAGTGATGGGGCACTTCCTGCCTGTGTTCTCTGTCCTCTTGGGGGTGCTAGAGGGGCGTGGGGAGGGCCCTGTGTGCACTGGCAGCCGTGCACCCCTCCTCTTGTGGCTCCCATGTCTGTCAGGTCTAGGGCCCAGTTCTGCCCTCTGCCTCCTCTTTTGGGTTTGAAATCCTCTTAAAGAAAAAAATAAAATAAAATTTTTTTCCTAAGTTTTAAGAAAGCAGTAAAGATTGAAGAAGCAGCGCTGCTTAGATTAGCTCCACTTCTTTAAGTAGCGTTTAGGAAGCCGCAAGTTAGGTCAAGGCAGATATTGGAATTCAATTAAAGCCGACGAGTGGGGCCTGTGACCCCCATTTTCAAGGTAATTGCTTCTCAGGCTCTGAGTGAATGCAGTCATCCCCCTGTCATTAAGCACGCAGCCCTCTAATCGCTTCGCCTGACAGAGCCTCCTCGGGAGGCAGGAATTACGGACAGCTGAGGCTGCCGTGCACAAGCTTGTGCTCAGGAGCCGGCTCGTGCTTGGGAGCCCTGCTCGACTGCAGCGCCCAAGGAGGTGGCTGATCTAGTCAGGGTGAGGAGAGGCGAGAGGGGGCAGAGCGGAGAGCCTGAAAGCTCCAGAGCAGAGGTCAGGGATCTAGAGCAGAGGTCAAAGGTCATGGGTCAGTTCTAGAGCAGAAAGCAAAGGTCAGAGATGAGAGACCAAAGGCCAGAAGTCTAGCGCAGACATCAAAGGTCAGATCAGAGATTAAGAGCAGAGACCAGAGGGGAGAGGGGACAGAGCCCTGGAGGTACCAGGCAGCAACTAGTGGCGATCCTCAGGCCCTGCAGGATTCAGCCTAGCATCCTGGGCTGCAGGATAGCAAGGCTCTAGTGGAGTCTGTGTCTCCCCAGGCCTCATTTTCCCCACTGGGTAAAGATGGTGGAGAGCTAGGCACTCTCCATACGACATGCCTGTCCTGGTCAGTTGTTCATGGCCCGCTTAGGCTTGGAGTTGAAGAGCCCTGGGTCATGCCTGTAGTTAGAGCTGCCAGGGACCTATTGGCGTGAATGTCAGTGTCTTTCTGTGGTCTTTTTATCGAAAAAAGGCAGAGAGCAGAAGTTATGGTGGGCCCAGAGCTTGTCCCTTTTGTATTTGGGGCCTGGCAAAACCAAGAGTCATCCCGGCAGAGCTGCTGCTGGTATATACAGCCCTTACTTCCAGAATTGACGTTTCTGTGAGGTCCTCATTTATGAACAAGATTCCTGAGCATGGGGAGGGAAGCATGACCCTTGGCCAGCCACTTAGGGACGGGGTTGACCTAAGACCCTGATGGATCAGCTATTTCCAGAACCTTCTTTTACAGTTTTCTGTGGTAAACGTTGGACTGGGGGGTGGAATGGCTGTTGCTCAGTGACAGTGTGGCATGCGATTCCCTGGGGGATCGGAATGAAGAGATGTTGTGAAGCATTAATTTTCAGTGTTTTAGTAGAAGGCTCCAGAGGAAAAGAGAGGTTGTAGCTTGTCACAAACTACAAAGGTAACAGGAAGCCATGCCAGGGGTCCTGGCGTTCACTCCAATACGGCAAAGAGCTGGATTCCCTGCTGGTGACAAGACTGCCCCTTAGACTATTCGTGACAGCCATGAATCGTGGTGGTGACAGGTGGCACTGGTACTTGGCTCTGGCTGCTGCTGGCTTCAGGGTGGGGGTGGGGTGGGGGTCTCTCAGCTCTTGGAGCCTGCATCCTGCCTGGTTGTGAGCTCTGAGCTGTTACCAAGCCCCCAAACTGTTATCTCTGTCAGGCCCGTGGAGCCCTGTGACAGGAACGAGGCTCGGCGCTGCACTGTCTTTGGGGACTGGAGCTGTTGGCTTTCTGTGTGAAGGCCCTCTCTTTGCATCCTTTTACGGGGCCATGAAAATGAGGCAGTGAGGTGCCAGTAAGTCGAACCCACATCTGAAGCTCCAGAGTGAAGCAGAGAGGTGTAGGGTGTGCAAGATGCCCGTCAGCAGATAGTACATGGGTTGGTGATACCGTGCTTGGCCCGTGCGGGGAGAGGTGGCCTCCCAGGGGCACACGGTGACGTGTTTTGTTTGGGTGAGACACGCCCAAGTATCTGTTCTTTGGGGGCTGGGAGGAGAAGAGGGAGTCTCCCCAACTTCTTGTTCCAACTGCTGTTGTAGAGTGGGCCACAGAGGAGGCCCCAGATTTGGGAGGTGGTGATCACTCTCTGCTGGCTCCTGTGTACCTCATTTCACCCAGAGAAATGGCCCGGGAACCAAGCCAGGCCCTGTAGGATGAGCAGGGATGCCTTCCTTAGACAAGGGCCTTGCTCCCCCGAGACTCCTAACTTGCCGCACATGAGTAAGACGAGCTAGACAGTTGTACCTGAGAGTGTTCCGTAGCATTTGTGGGTGTTGCCTGAGCCTCACGTTGTTTTTTCACGTGTGAGCCCTGCATAGCCCAAAGGGATTGATGTTCGTTGGCCCAGGGAGACTAGCCAGCCTGTTCCAGAACTCATCTTTCTGAAGGATAGAGCTGGATTCCCCTTTGGGCTGTATTGCTCCAGATTCTGAGCTATGAGAACACTCAGAAGTGAGATCCACTGTGACCAGGGAGGGGTGTCCAGGGAGAAGGTTTAGACAGAGTCGAGGCTAAAAGGCTGGGTAGGAGAGGAGACCCTGTCTGTCTCTGCACTATGAAAAGGGGTGAAGTTCCTCCAACCTTGCTTTCAGGGCTTGTATCAGGAGTTTTGAGCCAGCAGAACTAAAGGGTCTCCCGGCAACAGGTTTAAGCCAAGAGGGCCCCTCTGGAGACCCCTTGGTATCTAGACAGCCCAGCCATAGAATGCTAAGCAGCCATTGAAAAACAGGGTAAGATTTCTTCAGCGTCCTAAATCAAAATCAGGTTGTAAAGCAGTATGGCCGAGAAGAGCCTGTTGTGTAGTAATACATTTAAAATGTACAGAGACAGAGCCAAAAAGTAGAATCTTCTGGAGGATGGGAATGAACAGTAATTCTTAAAAAAAAAATGAAAAAAACTTTTAAATCTATACTTACCTTCAGTGTTCTTACACATATTATTTTCATAATAGGAACTAAAAACATCTTTAAAAGAGAAGACAAGGGTGAGATAGCTCAGCTAAGTGCCTGCTTAGGCAAGTACACGGACCAGGGTTTGATCCCCAGGACCACATGCCTGCAAGGACTACTTGCTGAAGAACCCCTCCCCCCCCACCGCCCATCCTTGGGTGCACTGAGCCTGCCACCAAGATTGGGCATGGTGGCATGCACCTGTAAGCCCAGTGCTGGGAAGGCTGAACACAGGAGGATCACTATGAATCCAAGCTGTGTAGTGAGATCCTGTACTAAATACATAAAATTTAAAAAAATAAACAAAAATAAAAAACAGACAAATAAAAGAGAAAGTACATGTGCTCTGGGTGAGCTCCCTTCCCTGTGGAGTCTGAGTTGCTTAGCTGGGAGCCATGGTTGTGTTTGAGGGACACTTAGCTTTGCATCTGCTGTGGTGCCTCCGGCAGACATGGAGTCACCTCCTTAGGACAGAGCCACCCATGCCTTCCATAAGTGCCCAACAAGGGAGATGCTAGAGGTATGAGCCGCTAGTTTTGAGTGGCGGTGGCCCTGCCAGCCCTTCAGCCAGGGCTGAGAACTGGAGCCCTGAGAGGCCAGGTGCTGGACAGCTACCACGGCCACCATTAACTTGGGGTGGGACTAGGTTGGCCATTGGCACCTTGGTTGGGAGGGCCCTGGGCTTCTTGATTCTTGGAACAAACACTTGTGGGCCTTCCTGTTCACCTGTTGACTGGTAGTAGTTGGCAGAAGGATGTTTCTTATTGACAAATGGGCTCCCCTGGACCCCAGTTTTCTTAGAAACACTGTGAGGTTGGTGGTTGACAGATTGAAGTCTGAATCTCACGTAGCAGGGGCAAGACTTGTGCCAGTTCCTGGCTGTCCGTTCCAGCCCTCAAAGCTTCCATTTGCCATGTAAAAAACAGGCACAGGCCCCCTTGCCAGGTGGTGGGAAGGGCTGGAGGGAGTATTTGAAAGTGCCCAGGCGTTCATGTGGTAGATTGGTTCTCTTTCTCTTGCACTGGTTGAAAGCAAAGATCTGTGTAGGGGTAGCGTGGCATGTGTGAGGCCCCGCTGTTTCCAAGAAGTACTCCACCATGGGAACTGTTTGGCAAATCTTTGGGTAAATGCTGGAGGGTGTGGAGCCGCCAGAGGTGGAGGTCACTTGGGGTGGGGAAGAAATGCGAGGCTGAGTGAGACTGATGGTGGGAAGGGCTATTTGGGGCCTGGGTGCAGTCCTGGGTTGGGTTCGGGAGGCAAGTGCAGAACTGTTGATGCTGCTGCTGTTGATGAGAATGCCCAGCGATGGAGGGGATGGATGGGCATAAGGCCACTGGGACAGCCAGGGCTGTGGTAACTCGGTCAGTGCTAGCTGCTGTCCCGCTGCCTGATGAACAGTGTCTGTGTGCCCCGTGCCCTCTGCTAGGTGCTCCTTTCCTGCTTTTGACATGAGGGATTGTGAGACTCAGGGAGTTGGAGCAGCCTGCCTAAGGCCATAGGGCTTATGCTCACAGTTCGCCTGGTTCCCAAGCCTTCCCGATGCCTGCTGTCTGCACTGATGCCTGAAGGTGTCAGCTCTTATTCCAGTGGCCCCTGGCTCCTCAGTTGCTGACCCTTTGCTGCTAGCCTGCCTTGCCCTGGCTCTGTAAACTGGGCTCCCGAGTCCTGTGGAATTAGGGGGGTCTTCCTAGTGTAAGGGTGGGAGACTCTGGCTGCTGATGTTGAAGGCATGGATGCATGCACTGCGAGTGCAGGCCAGTTCTCAGCTGAGAGGGAGCCCTGCCGACTGTGGGTGTTAATGCATGCACTATTTTATCTTCCTGGCCCGAAGCAGGTGCAGGGGCAGATGGGGCGTGTGAAGATATAAATCTTGTATCTCCATTGCAGTCCATTAACAGACTTTCTTCAGCAAGATGAGCATGTGGCCTGAGCTGGGGCTCAGGTTTCAGGGGTGTCATCCCCTGCTGGCTCCCCGCCTGTCCTGCTCAGCTCGCTCACACCACCTTCATTGCAGCAGCAACAACTCCAGGCGCAGCATCTCTCCCACGCCACGCACGGGCCCCCGGTCCAGCTGCCGCCTCACCCGTCAGGCCTCCAGCCGCCTGGAATCCCCCCGGTGACCGGGAGCAGCTCCGGGCTGCTGGCGCTTGGTGCTCTGGGCAGCCAGGCCCACTTGGCGGTAAAGGACGAGAAGAACCACCATGAGCTGGACCACAGAGGTGCGGCTCAAACTGGGGCCAGGGTTGGGGTGGGTGCTGGCCCCCCTTGGGGAGTGAGTACAGCAAATGCCGCCACCTCAAGGCCACGTGTGAGCTGGAGATGTAGAACTGTCTCCTTGTATTGTTTTGCTGGTTCTGGGGATGGAACCCAGGGCCTCGGATGTGCTAGGCAAGAGCCCCACCACTTAGCTCTACCCCAGCCCTGAAGCTATCTGTTGGCTCCCTGGTGCATAAAACCAGAGCCCGGGCTGGTGAGATGGCTCAGTGGTCTAAAGCACCTACTTAGAACAAGCTAAGCTAAGCAAAACACAGGGACCGCGGTTCAATCCCCCAGCACCACATGCCAGCCAGCCCCGCCCCCTGGTGGGCTGAGCTGGCCACACACACAAAATGAATGAATGAATGAATAAATAAATAATTCTAAAAAAAAAAAAAAAAAAACCAGAGCCCATTCCTGTGTTCCATGGCTCGTCCTGTCTGTCCACAGGGCCTGTGCCCTGGCACACATGCGCCCACTCATCTAGTGCCTCCCTGCTCCTTCACAGTACCCTTCAAGGGCCAGCCCTGCCCACATTCAGGGCACCTCACAGATCGTACTTGGGGCCTTTTCCGAATTCATGCACAGGCCTTTGTTGCTGTCGTCTTCTGTCCCATCTCCAGGAAAAGTCTGTCTTCACCAGGCTTATTACCCGTTCCTCTGAGAACCAGGGCCAAGTTCTGAGCAGGGGCATTGGAAGGAGCTTTCTCTGGCCCTTAGCTCGGCCCCTGGCACACCCTTTGCAGCTGTTGCCAGCTGTGAGCTCTGCCTTACAAGTTTCTCAGGCCCCATGGCCAGTGGCCTGTGAGCCTCTTGGCACAGGGGCTTGAATATGTCACCCTCCTGCCTTGGCCTGGTCACGGTCTTGGGAACGAAGAGGTCTAGTTTCGTGTCCCCTAGGAGGGTGGTCCTCTTGGCAGAGGAAGAGAGAGTGGGGAGCAGACAGGAGCTGCAGCTTAGCCGCGAACCCTCAGCTCCCGGGGCTGCTTGGCAGAGAAACGGAGAACAGTGGGGCGAATTTAAAAAGCAAAAACAAAAGCAAAAAAACCTCCTAGATTCTTTTCATCAATAATGTTCATGCACACATGCACGCACACACACACGCGCGCGCACACACACACACACATCCCACCCCATCCTTTGGGTCCTCCTTCCCAAGGTTACAACTTTAAGAACCAGTCTTGTTGCAGGTGAACTGGTGCCTCCGGCACAATGAAGCAAACAGGGGATTTGGAGTGGGGAGCACTGGCATTGGGGTGCTTGACTTCCAAACTGAGAAATAACACTGAATGTCCCTGTGGTGGCCAGCCCGCAGAGCCAGAGCCAGGCCTCTGCCCACTTTAAAACTGGGAAGCCCTTTTTAGCCAATCCCTACTGCCAACAAGATTGAGGGAACTGACTCTCCTCTCTTTTTTGTCTCTCCCTGGGCATCCTGACTCCTGGCCTTCCCTCCCCAAAGAGAGAGAATCTGGCACGGTAAGTGGACACCCTGGGGTGTGTGGAGGTCCAAGGCTTGTTTCCAGGACTGTGGCCTTGGGACCTGTGGGTGACCGAAGCTGGCCTGGTGGTCCACTCTGCTGCTCTGGGCTGCAATTAAGGCTGTGTTTGTGCATGTGTGCCCCAAGCTGGGAGGCATGCTGGGGACACATCCCTTCCAGACCCAGGAAAAGAGGGGAGGTATTGTCACAGGGCAGGAAGTGCTGTCACCTGTTGAGTGACCTTCTGCTAGGGAAGCCCTTTGTGTGGCTCCCCCAGCTTTCACTCCATGGCTTTTGCTGTTAAATGAGCTCCAGCACCTTTTGCAGAGGAAATAATTACCCAGAAAGGTCAACTGATCAGGCCCGGGCCTGGCATGGTCCCACACCAGTGTCCTTACCTACCCTGCAGCTGGACACCTCCTGCAGGATCCCGAGTTTTGGGTTCCTTCAAATGCCTGGGTTTTTCTCCCTGTTCTGAGCTTTTGCTTGGTTTAAGAAAGTGCTAGCAAGCAGGCATTAAGGGCCAGCCGCCTGCTTGTCTGCCAGCTCTGAGATTTGTTGTAAATCTTTCTGATCACACCGAGGCTCCGAGGTTCTGTTTCAAGTGAGTAAGCCTTCTGAATAAGCTCAGTGGAGTCTGGCTTAAAAAAAAAAAAAACCCTCTGGTGATTAGCATCGCTGTTTTACTGCTCATCACCCCGCTTGTATCTGGGGCCATCTAATCTGTTAGGATGGCTTTGGTTATTACCTCGTATTAAGCAGGACTTGGAAGGTCAGGTAGTTAACTAACCATCCAGGAGGCAGCCCCTTGGGCAGCCCTGCCTCGCCTTCCCTTCCGGGCCTTCCTCCGCCTGGCTGCATCTTCCAACCTCTCGAAAGCATTGATGCTGCTGTCTCTTCGTGCCCTGCCTACGTGCTCAGAAATCCAGATCCCTGCTTGGGCCCAGAAATGGCGATGTACAGAAGAAAGGAGTAATTGAAGCTGAAAATCAACTTTGATTGCTTTAGTGTCGAACCTCCGACAGCAGCATTTGGGGAGAAGCAGTTCACTTAGACAAGAATAAGCCCAGATTGGTCACTGGAAGGGCTCAGCTTCAGTCACAGCTCTGTGAGATGCTGGGGAGCGCTTGGCCTCTGCCTCGGTGTCCTACGAATACATCCTGTCCAACTGGCTCTCAGCTGTGTTCAGAAGACCCCTGGGTCCCAAGCCCTGGTGCAGGGATCTCCTCCTTGGAAATGGTGTTCAAAGCCCAGCCCTGTGTTCATCCTGCTCCTCCTTGCCTCTTTCTGCCTTTGGCTTTGTGTCTCTGTCATGCAGCCTTTCTGCTAGAACCCACGGGCTGCCCCAGCACCCACTGACATCCTTGCAGGGTGACCCAGGCCCTGGAGAACTGAATGAGCATGAGTCAGACGCCGCCAGGCTGGGAGGTGGGGACGGGCAGGGCCCCCGGGCCAGGCAGTTCGGGGTGGGGTCGCCAGGCCCGCGCGCATGTGCTGATGGCATTGGAGGCTGCAGACTGGGGTGATGAGCTTTCGGAAACCAGGTTGTCAACAGATGATCCCCACGGCAGGAAGGACAGGGCTGTGTTGCAGCAGGAGGGGGCCGGATGGGCTGGACGCTGTCCCAGAGGGGTTAGTCTGGAGTCCAATTAGAGGTAGCCTCATTCATATTTCCTTGCCTAGCTGAAGCAATAAAAAATACTTAGTTTTTTGGCTGCCTGCCAGCCAGAGGCGGGCTGGATCGATGCCGCTAAATGCCTGACATGACTCTCCGGTAGCGGCCAGGGTTTTCAGCCTGACTGCAGGAGAAGAAAGAGCTCACTGTTCTCCAAGCCGCGCACCGGGTCGCAGGGAGAAACACGGGCAGCCGCGTGTCCCCCTCCTGGCCCGCACGCCTGCGAGGGGGCAGCCAGCCCGAGGGGCTGGAAGCGTTTCTGCTTCGCACGGGGTGGCCACCGCCACCGCTGTCGGAGGAAATGAAATGACGGCGATTTTTTTTTTCCCTGCCGGTGCTTGCAGCAGCTAATTGAATTGCGGCTGCGTGCGCTCGGCGATCGCCCGGCTGCGGGGAGGTTGAGCTGTGGTTCCATTATAACCTCCAGTTTTTTCTTCCAGCCTTGATAACTCTTCCTTTTTAATTTGCTTCAGGCAGAAACTTGGCAGGGAAGGGCTGCCCAGAAACCTATTTTGGAAAGGAAGTGAGGTTCTGCAGGCGGCCAGTGCTGTGACCCTCCCGGTGACCCCTGCTTCCAGGGCAGCCCTGGTCAGCCCTGGTCTCCCATAAACAGGGGAGATGAGACAGGAAATAGGAGAAGGTCGCTTTTGACACCCTTCTCTTGGGTGCAGACGATGCTCTGTGTCCCCTTGTGACCTCCTCACGCATCTCTGCGCTGCCTGCGGCTCAGATCAGCTGGCGCTGCTCTTCCCTGTGGCTGGCCTGGCAGCTGGGACAAGCAAGGCTGTCTGCTCGCTCCTTCTATTGCCCCTGGTGACCTGAGCCAGGGCAGATGCTCAGAAGATAGAAGTGGGGAGGGATGAGGGAGAAGAAGGTGGGCAGGTGCATACAGCTCTAAGGACAGTTCTCCCAGTTCTCTGGTCCTCACAGCCCCTACCTGCTGGTGCTTCTCCACCGCAACTCTTGGCCTACCTCTTTTCTCAGGCCGGCGTCTGCACGGGTTCTGTCCCCACTTGCTCTGTAGTTGAGGGAAAACTACTATAGCCTGAAATCCTTGCGTTTCTTCTTTGGGGAGGGGGTGTGCCTGGACATGGCCCCCAACTTCGTAGCGCCCCCAGGAGGGACTGCTTCCTCACGTTTATTTATATGCGTCCTGATTTTCAGAGACATCAGCTTTGTGACCTTGTGGTTCTTGTTTGCTTGTGGTCCTGGGGTTTTGGGTTGTGGGGCAGCCTCTGGGGCCAGGAGGCAGGTGGCTTGCTGCAAGGCTAATTATTTAATTGTGGTACCTTGGGACAGAGGGCTAGCTTCTGGGACCAGGCTGGGAGTTGGGGAAGAGCTCCCGGATACGGGTTGGGCCCACAGACATGGTGCAGAAGACCTCCCCCTCCCCTGGCCTTCCGTGTCCAGTACCCTTAGTCACAGTTCCTGACTGTTGAGAGGTTGCATCAGCACAGGCTTTGACCTGAGTTGTTTTCTTGCTTCCAGAATAATTCAGTGTCACCCTCAGAAAGCCTCCGGGCCAGTGAGAAGCACCGGAGCTCTGCAGACTACAGCATGGAAGCTAAGAAGCGGAAAGCAGAGGAGAAGGACAGCCTGAGCCGATACGTACGTCTGTGGGTCATCCATCAGCTGGGACAGGCCTGGGACCTGGGACAGAGCTGTGGCCTGGGAAGTCTGGGGCAGACACTGAGCTGGAGGGGCGCACACAGTGGGATGGGTGTTGGGGGTGTTCACAGGCAGTGAGTGCAGGGGCCATGGGGGCAGGACTAGGTGTGTGTCAGCTGTCCTTGCCTCCATGAGGCCTAGGGGAGCCACGGGCTCATCCATAGGTGGCCATCAGTATGTCCTAGATTCCCTGGCCAGGGGACTCCGGGGGCCCCCATCCCCGATGTTGGCCCTGAAGTCCCCACCATCTGTCCACATAGTATGATAGGTCCAGGCATGAGACCCCCCAGTGGACATGGGGCTGTTGGGCCTCAGGCCCTCTCTATCCACCGGGTTTGGCCACATTGCACGCGCGGGGCTCCACTGTGTTCTGTGAGCTGTGGCGGTCACCTTCAGCAGAGCTGTGGGCATGCAGACAAGAGAGAAGATTGGTGCCTTGTGAAGGATGGGAGAGACAAGTGGGCATGGTGGGCAGAGGCACCCCTGGGAGGCAGCGGGACTGGCACCCAATCCATCCCAGAGAAAGGCCAGCTCCTGCCTTGAGAGGGCTCTTGGCATGTTGGGCACTGCCCAGATGGGGACATTTGGCTTGGTTCAGGTCCAGGCGGGTGGAGCAGGGTGTGGGTCTGGGTTGGAGAGCATGGCCTTTTACCATCCTGCTTTCTTCCGTCGCTGCTATAGGACAGTGATGGGGACAAGAGTGACGATCTGGTGGTGGATGTTTCCAACGAGGTAAGGGCCAGCCCAGGGTGCAGTGAGGTTGGTGTATTGGAGCCATCCTGCCCTGGGGCGGGTCTGCATTCCGGCCTAAACAGGGCATCAGAAGGAGCAGGGCGGAGCTTGGCTGCACAGCAACTGGGCGTTCATACGTGCTGATGGTGCCTGGTGACGGTGCCCAGAGAGGTCCTTGAAAGACCAGCAGGGGCCTTCTGTTTGCCTAGGTGCTGCTGCGGCAGGTCACCGCTCCCCGTGTCCCAGCCATAGTCTCCCAGCCATGGGCTTGAAGGGGGTCAAGTTTGTCAAATGTGGATTGCCACCCGAGGGGGACCTTCGGGCTCAGCCAGGCTGTCCTCCCATCCCTCACCTGTGCCTTCTCTGTGCTGTTCTCTGGGCTGGGGTGCTCTAGCCTGGCTGTGGCCTTCACAGCATCTCTGCACCCCTTGTCCCTTTAGGACCCCACAACGCCCCGAGTCAGCCCGGCACACTCCCCTCCTGAGAATGGGCTGGACAAGGCCCGAGGCCTGAAAAAGGATGCCCCCACCAGCCCTGCCTCTGTGGCTTCCTCCAGCAGCACGCCCTCCTCCAAGACCAAAGACCTTGGTCATGTATGTGGGGTCCACCCGGGCACCTTCTGAGGAGTGGGGGAAGGGGGCAGGGGGAAGGGTGCCTGAGCGGGACTAGGGTAGCCAGAGGGTGGGAATAGAGGGACTAAGGCTGGGGGACCTGACCTAGCCACCTGCTGCTTGGGCCCTGGGCTCCTCAGGACCTGAAGCTTGGTAGCTGAGCCTGTGACATGAGAGCCATCACCATGGTCCCTGCTGTGGGGCTGAGTGGGGACCCTTGCCAGGCGCTGGGCCCCACTGTCAGGATACAGGGATCTTCATGCCTTCCTCAGTCTGTACACCTTCCCTCTGTAGAATGACAAATCCTCCACCCCGGGGCTCAAGTCCAACACTCCAACTCCAAGGAATGACGCCCCGACTCCAGGCACCAGCACAACTCCCGGGCTTCGGTCCATGCCGGGCAAACCTCCAGGAATGGACCCGATAGGTATAATGGGTAGGCGCAATGGGTACTCCGATGGCCAGGGAGGGATGACTGGGCTAGGACAGAAGCCACCTGGGGGGAGCAGGAGCACAAGGGCTGTCCCAGGGCTTGCACTTGGAGGCTTCCCAGGTCAGGTTTGTTGTAGGGGCAACAGGCCCTGCTGGTTCGAGACTGTCCAGGGAGCAACCCCAGGCCAGGATACCCCTGGGCCGGCCCTCCCCACTGACTCCCCATCCCCCACAGCCTCGGCCCTGCGCACGCCCATCTCCATCACCAGCTCCTATGCGGCACCCTTCGCCATGATGGGCCACCACGAGATGAACGGGTCCCTCACGAGCCCGGGTGCCTATGCCAGTCTGCACAACATCCCGCCACAGATGAGTGCAGCCGCCGCCGCCGCCGCCGCCGCCTATGGCCGATCGCCAATGGTGAGCTTTGGAGCTGTACGTAGACCTTTTGGCTCCTTTCTGGGGGGTGCTGGGCAGGGGGTAGGGACTTGGTAGAGGCTGGGGTGTGGAGGCGAGCAGCTGCCAGGGAGAGTGAATTGACGTGTGGCCTGCCTGTGGGCAGACTGGGGGCTGATTCTTGCTCCTGGCCTGGGAAGTCTCACCCAGCAGGGGTTTGCTAAGCCAGCCTGGCTGTGGGGATGAGCCTTTAGGAGTCAGGTTGGTGAAGAGGGACCCTGTTCTGACCCTGCCTGCTGTGCCTGGGCAGCCCCTTTATGGGATGGGCCTGCTGGAACACGGAGGAAGGAAAGGGTCGGAGCAGGGCAGGTACTGCTGCAGAGTGAGGGTTTGCTACTTACTCCCATGGACTTGGGCAAAGCCCATGGCCTTCCTGGGACCTCAGGGCCGCCCAGCTGATGGTGCATGGTATGTGAGGAGCCAGTGGGACAGTAATGCAGTGGGGCAGAGAAGGAAGAGGGAAGTGGGAGGCGACCGCGTCCCTAACTCAGGATTGCCGCACCTTTCTTGACAGGTTGGATTTGACCCTCACCCCCCAATGCGGGCCACAGGTCTGCCCTCAAGTCTTGCCTCCATCCCAGGAGGGAAACCGTAAGTTTGGGCTGTGGGTCTCGAGAGTATTTGGCAGGTGGCGGGCAAGAGTGGATCCCCCCCCATCCCTAGGCAGGGACTCTCCCCCAGAAGCTACACAGGCCAGGGCTGACCTCAGGGTAACTCCTGCCCAAGCCCAGAGGTTCCCCGTAACTAGGGAACCAAGGGGCACTGAGCACAGTCACTGGGCACCAGGAAGGATACGGCATCCCTCACCCAAGCACACAGAGCTGCCACAGACCTTGGGGATGCCGCTGGGTCCTGCCTGCTGGTCATTGCCCTTCAGCTTTGCGGGTGGTTGAGGTTGAGCATCCCTGTACTGTGGCATCCACAGAGCCCCCCGGGCTGCTCATAGCGCAGATGTGTCCTCCGCAGCTTGCTTTCTGGGGCACAGGCCGATTCCCCCCGCTAACATCCCTGGCTTTGAAAACAGCAGTGTCCATTTAGCTGGGTCCTTTCCAGGGCTGGAATGTCAGGGTACGTTACAGATGGTGGCAGAGGGCATCCCGAGGTGCCTGTGAGGTTCCCCATCTGATTTGGAACAAGGATTTTAAGTGGGAGAAAAATTCAAAGCTGGCCTGTGCAGTCCTTCCCCCGCTGCAAGAGGCATCCCCGGAATGCGGAATTACTGGACACAGGAGATTTAGAGAGGGGCCAAGGTTTCAGGGTAGGCTGCTAAGGCCTTGGGGGTACATGGACACTGGGCACGGCTCTGGGTGACACTGCCCCTGCCCTGGCAGTGCGTACTCCTTCCACGTGAGCGCAGATGGGCAGATGCAGCCTGTGCCCTTCCCACATGACGCCCTGGCCGGCCCTGGCATCCCGAGGCATGCCCGGCAGATCAACACCCTCAGCCACGGGGAGGTGGTATGCGCCGTGACCATCAGCAACCCCACCCGGCACGTCTACACGGGGGGCAAGGGCTGCGTGAAGATTTGGGACATCAGCCAGCCGGGCAGCAAGAGCCCTATCTCCCAGCTGGACTGCCTGGTGAGCATCGTGGGCCTCAGCATCTCCTGTAGCTGCTGGGGGAGGTGTGGGAGAGCTCTGTGAATGAGTGGAGCGGCTCCGGACCAGCTGGCTAGCCTCTCTGAGCCCTAGTTTTCCCACCTGCACTTGGGGGTGGTCTTAATCTCCTGGAGTTTGTGAAGGTGGAAAGAGAAAGGGGCTCTGCCATGCAAGGCATCATGAGGTACAGACTTCCCTGGTCCCCTGGAGGGAACACGTGGGCACCACTCAGCCGCCCCTTCTCACTTCAGAACAGGGACAACTACATCCGCTCCTGCAAGCTGCTCCCTGACGGGCGCACGCTCATCGTGGGCGGCGAGGCCAGCACGCTTACCATCTGGGACCTGGCCTCGCCCACGCCCCGCATCAAGGCCGAGCTCACATCCTCGGCGCCTGCCTGTTATGCCCTGGCCATCAGCCCTGATGCCAAAGTCTGCTTCTCCTGCTGCAGCGATGGGAACATTGCCGTCTGGGACCTACACAACCAGACCCTGGTCAGGTAAGGCTGGCAGGACAGCATGTTTCTGTCTCAGACAGTGAGGGTGCACCCCTCTGGCCTGGCAACCTCGGCAGGGGGTTCAGATGAGGGAGGCCGGGAAGAGAGAGGCAGGCCTGCTTCTGTGAGGGCGGCAGAGGGACGGGGCGGCAGTGTGGGGAGGTCAAGCCCCGACTTCTACCATAGCACCTCAGCACAGTAGCAGCCGGCAGTGCTCCCTAGAGTGGGCTCTCAGTACTCCCAGCTGTCTGTGGCTCTTGTCGCTGCAGGCATGTTTGTGGTCTCAGTCCGGTAGTCCATGCAGGGGAGGAGGGTGAGGTGATGGAGAAATTGGGCAGCCTGGCAGGCTGCTGCGCAGGAGCTGCTTTTTCTGTGAACAGCCTCATGGGATTTTCCAGAGTCTTCCTCACCCCTAGTTTACTCACATCCAGAGCTAGGTGGGTACCCTAGGAGTAACTAGGTCTCAGAAACATGTACCCGGGGGCCTGCTGCTGCATAAGGCCACCCCAGTAGAGTGGGAGGGGGCCAGTCCAATTGTGCTTCAAGCTTACTAGGTGCTTACGGCATATGGTGAACCACTCTGGGCCTCAGTGTTCCCCTCCGCTCACCTCTCCCCAGCATGGTTGGGGGCTTCCTGAGGCTCATCCTTCTCCCCTGGGTGGCTTCTATAGGCAGTTTCAGGGCCACACGGATGGGGCCAGCTGCATAGACATTTCCCACGATGGCACAAAGCTGTGGACTGGGGGCCTGGACAACACTGTACGTTCCTGGGACCTGCGGGAGGGCCGCCAGCTGCAGCAGCATGACTTCACCTCTCAGGTGTGTGCCCAGGACCCCTCCCCACCCTCCCTTCCAGGACCCCAGTGCAGGGGAAGCCTGTGAGACAGAGGGTCCCACAGGTGGGCACTGCCTGAGTCTTGTGTCCTGGTTCGTCGAGGTAACAGCTGGGATGAGATGGGCTGGGTGAGGCTTAGGGTTGGGCACACTAGACCTGCCTGTGGGGTTCCTCCCACGCTGTTCCACTGCTGTGTCCAGTTTCCCCACTGAGATGTAGAAGTGTCCCCAGCTGCCTCCAGGCTCTGGTGGGGGCACCTGGCATGCTCCTCTAAAGGTTTCGGCCGTTAGTCTTAGTCTTAAACAGTAGTCAGTAATTAATGCCAGGCCGTACTATTTTGCATTATTTTCATGACTCTGCTGTTTTAGTCTTAAATGTGTAATAACTTAGTGTTTTATCACTTAGCATTTTTCCAAAGGAGGGACCAGAGCCACAGAGGCAGAGGGTGCCCTTGGAAGGGACTCCTCTGTACTCCCGAGTGTGAGCCCTCTCTGTACCTGGCTTTCACTCCTGGAGGGAGGGCCGGAAATGCCATCTATCTGGGCTCTGGGCAGGGTGGGCTCCAGGGCTTGGTCTGCAGGTGGCAGAGATGAGGCAGGGAGGTCTTGGGGAGCTGCCCAGCGCAAGAGTCGAGGCTACCGAGCTGTGTGTGCCCTCCCGCAGATCTTCTCCCTGGGCTACTGCCCCACGGGGGAGTGGCTGGCCGTGGGCATGGAGAGCAGCAACGTGGAGGTGCTGCACCACACCAAGCCGGACAAGTACCAGCTGCACCTGCACGAGAGCTGCGTGCTGTCCCTCAAGTTCGCCTACTGCGGTGAGCAGCCGACCTCAGCTTCGGGAACCCTTCCAGGGAGCATGGGCCCTGTGTTTAACCTCAAATCCCGCATTTGCCCAACCCCACCTGGGTGAGAGGCAGACAGCCATTCTCTGGGTGCCCATGGGTCCTGCAAGTGGACAGTCACACTGAGCACCGACGGGCAGCTGTCACCATGTCGCCATAGTGGCTGACCGTATCCAGGGAGGGTCCTGCTGACCACATCTGGGATGGGTCCTGCTGGGGCCGCCACTGAACATGCTTCCATCTTCTCCCGCAGGCAAGTGGTTTGTGAGCACAGGGAAAGATAACCTTCTCAATGCCTGGAGGACGCCCTACGGAGCCAGCATATTCCAGGTACTGCCAGTGTCCCCCAGTGATAGGGGCAGGGATGGCAGGAGGCATGACAGACAGGAGGAGCCTGGAGCTAGGATTGCACCTGCCTGCCCCCTTTCCTGCCCCTGGGGACAGGATGGCTTCTGCAGAGGGAATGCAGCAACATGCTAGCTGCCGGTGGCTTCCCCTGGAGGGCTCTAGAGAGAGCCAGGAGAATACCTTTGGGCCAGGTCCAGGCAGCCCTTACAGCCAGCGGTCCCTGTCTGGGGGCACCTGGACACTGTGCCTTGTGGACACGTGCTCACCTTCACACGCTTGAGCCCCTCATCCCCTTTCTGGCCTCCTACTGAAGTGTCCAATGAGCCATGTGCCCTACACACGCCTCTTGAGTCTCTAGTTAGGCAGGGTGTCCCAGCTCAGGATGTTTCCGGCTGTAATGCAAAAGAGAGGCGCACATTTCCCGTGTCCACCCGCGCTTGACGCGTTGTGCTCATAAGCTGCTCTTTACAGAGAGGCGGGAAGGTAGGGGTGCTGTGCAGAGGGCTGGGGCTGCTAGGCAGGCGGGCAGAGGGGGCACGGCTGCAGGGGGGCTCAGAGAACCAATTTCTTTCTCTTTTCTCCCCATGCCTTCCTGCTTCTCCAGTCAAAAGAATCTTCGTCTGTCTTGAGTTGCGACATTTCAGCGGATGACAAATATATTGTAACAGGCTCTGGTGACAAGAAGGCCACGGTTTATGAGGTCATCTACTAAACAAGGATTCTAACAGGGCTGTCAGGCTCTGAGAGAAGCTGCCTCAGTGCTGAAAAGGAGACTAGCGAGCCCCCTGAGGTCGCAGAGGACAGGCCCCCAGAAGCGGGGATCTGGGCTGCACTTTGGCTGTGCAGGGGCGCGGCCCGGCGTGGCCTGCACCTCTGTGGGCATGGATTGATCTGTCTCTTGAACTCGGATGGATTTGCTCCTACTCCCCTATAACCACGCTGGCAGATGCTACCAATAGATTTATATGGAGGCTTATGGCTCCGGACCCCCACAGACACTGATGAATCTTGTCTCTTCTTCCTCTTTCTCTTGCCCTGTCCCCTCCCTGCCTTGGGTTGGGGACACTGGAGTGGACCACATTGTTGTTCCTATTGTGCAGTGCACAAGGTTTGTGAAAAATGTAAATAACAGACTCCTCTCTGGGGCTGGTCAGTGGGGGAGGTGGCCCCTTCCCACCAGAACCTTGCCGTGTATTTTGCCTGCTGTATTTGCAAACCACGCGTGGTGGTGGCTTGTTTTTTTGTTCTGTTTTTCCTTTTTCTTTTTAAACAAGTTCCCGTGGGGAAAGAGGGCAGGGAGGGAGCAATAGGAAGAGGGGTGGAATGGGAGAACTTCCGGGGCGCAGTGGGGAGCTGCAGGGTGTAACCAGACATCCCAGGGTGCCCCCTGTAGAGGTTGGGCAGCGTCAAGTTTGTCCGGATGGCGCACCGGACAGACAGGCGGACAGGACTGGGCTGACATCTGCAGGAACAGCTGGGTTTTTCTGTGGGTCCCTTCGCCTGTGTTGCATCTTCCCCGTCTGTGTGTCCCCCGAGCCCTGCTTGGGGCACGCTCTTCATCCGCGTGGTGATCAGAGGTTCTGAGGGACTCCCTCCCCAGCTTTCCTTAACCTTCGGCGACAGCCTGCAGAGGACTCTGTTAGAGGGAAGTGTAGCCACTCAGCTCAGGGAGCCACCAGAGACAAACAGCAACCGATGTGGGTGCATTTTTTTTTTTTTTAATTTGAATAAAAAGAATTAGAAGTGATGTCCTTTTATAAAACGCCTTCGCCCTTTCCTGCCTTCAGCCACTTCCGGTCCTGCTTCCTGCACCCCAGTCTGGGCAGGGCAGCAGGCTGTGGACTGCACACGGGTGACCCTGGCAGCGTTCCTGCCCTGTCATGGGCAGCCAGGTTGCAGGGACGGCGGCGCTGTCTCCTGCGGGTCCCAAATGTTCTGAGGTGTTAAGGATTTTGTTTTTGTTTTCCTCTTTTTCTTTTAAAAGAAAAGCTAAGGGCCATGTGGTTCCTGGTGGTGGGCTATCTGTGGATGTAGCATATGGAAGATAATTTTTATATGCATTTTTATGGATTATTTTATAATGTGACGTGCTCTGGCGCAAAGGAAGGAAGGAGCAGCTCCCCGGGGAAATTGCCTGTCTCCTGGGCTCCCTGGCTGTGCTGCTGCCCGGAGGGATGTGGCGCTGTAGCCAGGAGCCAGCGGGCACCCAGACTAGAGGTGTGGCATGTCGGATTCCTGTCGCACTGGGTCCCAGAGCACCACTTGCCACTTCTCATTAAGGTTCTGGCCAGAAGGGAGGGCAAGGGCAGGAGAAAGTTATTCCTGGAGAAAAAAAATGCAACGTCATTGTAATGAGCTGTTTTTATATTTTTAAAAGTTATTATTTAAAGGTTGGTTTGTTGTGTTTTAATTGCTTTTCCCCCAGGAGGTCATTCACCCCTAAGAGGATCAGGGTACCAGCATCCCACATCCATGCCTCTCCCAAGCCGCCTCCCCCCTGAGCCGGCCAATTGTGCAGGGCAGCCATGGGAAGTGCTGTCCACCGGCCCAAGCCCGTGTCCCCTCCCCAGTGGTGGGTAGGAGCTGGGCTTTGATTTTTTACAGATGACAGGAAAGACTGGCCAGGCCAGCACCCAGGGACTCTTACAACTGGTCAGGCAAAAAATATTTTGGGGATGAGAAACCTTCAAGAAAGGCCACACTTTGTTGTTCTGTTTCTGGGTTTTTGTTTTTTGTTTTTTGTTTTTTTTTTTTTTTCTTTTAAGCTTAAGTGTAAAGAGACTTCAGAATCTGGGTCACAAAGATGGGTGGTGTTTTGAATAATTGAGAAAGGAGGGTTTGCAGAAGGGGCAGCTGGGAAAGGCAAAAAAAAATTTAACTTTTGCTGGGACAAAAATGCCTGACACCCAACTTCAAGTTTTATTTTGACTCCTGGTTCTAGAAGGTTCAGTACATGGTTAAGCCTCCAGGGCAGAGATACAGTAGAAGGGTGTGTTGGAGTAAGTAGAGAAAGGGCCTGGGGACAGGGGACACGTGTGTGTACCCTCCCACACATCCCCAGTGAGCCGCCATCCCCAACAGGGCCACACTACGTGACAGCCCATTTAGCTTGATAACCATCAATAGATGGGTCTGCTGAGAAGTTTCATACCCGTGTGATCCAGCTACCCGCTGAAAACCATCTCTGAACACCCGGAAGTGGGGGCGGCCCTTTGGACCTAAACCCTATCAGCGGATCAGCAAGAGCGCTGGTGTCAGGGAAGCCCTGGGATCTGTTACCAGCCACCTTTCTTTAGTAGAAGTGGGGGTCTCCATGGACACCAGCTTCTCATTTTGCCAGTCCTTATAAATCAGTACCAATAACCCAGGCTAATAACCAGCACTAATACCTGTTGTCACTGCACATGAGGAAGAAGGTGACGAAAGAGCAGTGGTGTCACGAAGTGCTGCCTTTCCACCTAGAAAGAGATGGGAGTCCTCCCCACTCGGGGGTCTCCGAGGCCTCAGGTTTCCAGAGGAGAAGCCCCCACAGGAGAGTGTCTAGTCTGAGCCCCAAGGCATCGGTTTCAGCTGTGGTTTTGACAGGTCCTGGGGTCTTGAATGTGACCTCCCAGCTGGACTGTGTCCCTTTTCTTTTTCTGGTCAGTGGTTTGTAGTGGAGGGCTAGATGACTGTGGCAGCCTCTGGCCAGGATAAAATCCTGTGTGCCCTGGACTGGAAGTTGTGCTTCAGTGCCAAACAGGGATGGTGCACAAGCCCCAGGTGGGTAGAAGAGGAATGTCTTACCTCGGCATAACCGGCTAGGAGAGAGGGCCCATGTCACGCCCACCTCCAGGAAAGGAAGACAATGTGAAAAGATTTTCTATCTGGACTTTCTGGGCCAAGTCAAGGGTGGAGACAGGAGGCAGGCCACAGCCTCCAGCAGGCACTCATGGTGTCCTTGTTGCCCCTAGCAAGGCCTCCTGTTTCTGCCTCTTCTCCCCACCATGCTCCTCTGCATCTGGGAAGCTTATCAGAAACCCGGAATCTCAGCCTCGCCCCTCCCATAGGTCTTAGTGAAGTTCAACCTGCATTTCCATGCTCTGTATTTCCACGCGTGTGAAAGTTCTAGTCCCTGTAGGTTGTCCAACCTATCAGTAGGGCTGTAGGAGGCCTAGCTTGTAGCCTCAAAGGTCACCCCTAACTATTGTGCTGTAAGGCAGAAGTGCAGGCTTCTCACCAACAGTACTTGCAGGACTCCCCTACACCTGCCAGCCTGTCTACTCAGTGAGGCCAGTTTCTGAGGGGCAGCACACATGGCATCTGCTCAGGGCAGCACTACTGACCAATGACCCTTCACTAGCTCTAGAATTAGCCTTGTAATTTATAGTGCCTTGGGTAGTGCCAGCTGGAGTTGTTTGGACTCTTGTGTTGCTTGAAACAAGATCTGTTGGCAGGGGGAATGACAGTGACGCAGCCGTAAAGGTCTAAGTTCCCATTGAGTTACAGTGTGCGGGTCACTCACCCCAGCCAACAGCTGATCTGGCCCACCCTTCCAGCCTCTCACCTTCCTTGCCCCAGGAATTCTGACCCAGGCATGGGCAGAGTTATCCCCTTCCCTAAACACCCAGCTCATGTCTCAGGAAGGACAAGAAACAAAGAGGTAGCTGTCCAATGGCAAGATTCAATGGCCTTGTTAGAGGATCAGTATCCAGGAAGGGAGACCTGTCCTTCCATAGGACAGGTGAGGCAATTCCTCTTGGAAGGAAGGCAGCCCAGAACAGGCATGGAAACCAGGGGCCTGCCTTGGGAACATACACTCTCCCACCTATCTTGCTCACTCTTGCATCCATCCATCTACCTACCACCCACCCTCTCATTTACCCATCCATCCGTCTATCCATCTAGCTATCCTACCAATCCATCCATTGATCCATCTTTCTGCTGATCCAGCTATCCTGTACATCCATCCATCTGTCCATCTCTCCTGACTAGCCATCCACCTAGCTATCCTGCCTATCCATTCATCCATCACCCACCTTCTCATTTACCCATCCATGCATCTATACATCCATCCATCCATCCATCCATCCATCCATCCATCCATCCATCCATTTAGCTATCCTGCCAATCCATCCATCCTTCTGCCAATCCAGCTATCCTTCCCATCCATCCATCCATCCTTTTGCCCACCCATCCAATGTTCATGTCATGAGAGTCCAGTTTACACCAGGCATGATTCTAGCTGCTAGATGCCAAGATCAATAACAATGTCTATCCTCACACAGCTCTGGGCCAAAGGGGAAAAGCAGCCACTGTAACAATGACCACTCTGTGGGTTCTGTGAAAATGCAAACCAGGAGATGTCACAGCACTGCACTGTGACACTCACCTGGCAACACCGAGGCAGAGTAGGGGACTCCACAATCCTCGCAGTGTGCCCTGGCTCGTCCTTACCCAGGTCTCACTCCAGTGCTCTCAACTCCAATTCTTGCTGCCTGCCCCATCAGTCTCCGGGTTCCAGGCTGAGCAGGCCCAGGAGACAAGACGTGGGACCTCGGCAGAGACCAGAGTTGAGGAGGGAGGGGGGTAGAGAGGAGAGCACTGCAAGCCTAGCGAGTCTCCAGAGAGCTGGGTGCAGGGTATTTATTGGCTCTTTGTTTGAAGGTCGTGAGAGCCCACTTGTCCATTCAAGGGAGAATGGACGTGGACAAAACTATGCACCTTTCCATATAATGAAAGTGTTCTTAGGTATTAAAATGCAGAAGCCAGATTTTTATATTTCAACTTGGATAAGTCTCAAAAACAGTGTTGTGTGAAAAGAGCAAGTTGCAAAGAGAAATATATGACATGATTCTATTTATGTAAAATATAAATCGATACAAAGCAATGCTATATTTGAGTATGTATACACATGCATCCACAAGTGGCGAACACCCCCTCCGCCGCCCCATCAGGAAAATCGTGGTTTTCTGTGGGGAAGAAGGAAAGGAAATGAGAGTTGGCTAGAGTTCAGCTCCACCTATCACATTTTGTTACTTTAAAAAAAATCTGAAGATGTTAAAATATGCACATTTTAGAAGTTTATGTGATGACTTTGCTGGGAGTCTGTTCTTTTTGTTCCCCGCATGTCTGAACTATTTCATAATTTAAGATTCTTTTCAAAGCAAAACAAAACAAAAAAAAAAAAAAGCCAGCAGGATCAGGACTCAGTCTGGACATAGAAAAGGGACTGGGTGGGAGGCAGGAGGGCCTGCAGAAGTCCAGGGTTGAGTGGCAGCCCCTGTGACGAGAGCCGAAGCCGCCGGCTCGCTCACCGGGCCCCACTCCTCACCAGACCTCACCAGACCTCACCAGGGCTCACCTTCTGGTCCGGGCTGTGCTGCTAAGGCTGGGTGATAGTCCCTGGTGCTTGTGAGGCAGTGGCTGGGCGCAGGGACAGCTGGCCCTTGCAGGGACTACCTGAGGGACACTTGTGTAGCTCTCCATTGTGAAAAACGCCAAGCAGATACGAAAGGACAAAAAAGAGAGGATGAAAGCCCCAGAGGATGAAAGCCCCAGGTGCCTTTCCCTCGGGCAGGTCACCTCGGGGACCTGTGATCCGTCCTCCCAAGCCTACCCAGCCTCTACCTGGAATGCCATCCAAGAAATGCCACACGCTTACTTCTTCGCTGGATTAGGCAACGTTGTACCACATCCAGAAGGTTAGTCTCATTTTTTAAAAACAGAACCTTCACAACACTAAACCAGCGAATAAATGAACAACAAATTCTAATACAATAAATTCTAAGATTCAGTTTACTTGGCCAGGGATACAGTTTAGTGATACAGCACTGCCTGGCAAAGCACCAGGTCCTGAGTTCAAGTCCCGTTACTCATCCCCCCCAACACAAGACACAATTTACAGTTCCCTTATTGTCATATTTAAAATCAAAATTTGAAACAGAATCAAAGTCTATATAGAGCAAAGAGTAATAGATTTTCTAAGGTCCTACCCTTGCCTACTCTTCCTCCTGTTCTTCCTCTTTCTCTCTCTCTTACTTATTGAAGACACTAAATTTTTTGGCCTTAGAGCTCCACACAGCCCAAGTTCTGCTGATTGCTAAATTGTACTTAGATCTTGGAGCTTGATTAGATCCAGGCATGATTTGGGGGGCTAACGAGATGGCTTCATCGATTCATCAGGAAAGGCGAAGGATCTGGATGTTTTTCCTTCCGAGTTCACGAGGAACACAAGGGTAAGATTCACACTGCACATTCCCTTCCATTTTCTCACTGCAGAGAACGCTTTGGGCATGTCGAAGCGAAGTTTATAGAAAATGCTGGATGATTTTTTTTTTTTTGGGGGGCTACATTTTCCACTTTTCAAAATAGTACATTCATTCCTTAGTAGTCTCAAAAGTTGCCCCGTGAG